AACTGCGAGAGCGTTTTTTGTTTAAAGCATTGAATTTAATTTAAAACAAGACATATTTTTCAACAAAACTACACGCAAACCAAAAATCTATTGCAATGAATGTTAGTTCCGTTTCCTATCATCCTCTGTTCATGAACATCACAACGAATGTTAGAAATTGACCATGCAGGCGATGTAATGTTTTTTGTTTTTTTTTTATTTCGTGTTCTATCTCCGCTTTCGACTATACCAGTAAGCATGTAGAACGACGCACACACTTGCCTCGAATCTCTCCAGCTGGAAAAGCATACGAAGTCGAGAATGCGAGAAAATTAGCGCTTCATGCTTTTAGGCTATCCATATTCAGAAGCATGGAGATAGCAGTGGAGAAAGTACAGGTCTGATAATCGCAACGTTCGTGGTTCGAGCCCAGTTCTATTTTTTTCGACATAGCTAATTTCACTCACTAATACACTCTACATTTTTCGGTCTCCAATTTTCTTGCATTGGACCGCAGCTAGGTATATCACATCCTCTGATGATGAATCCCACATAATTGTAAGCGAATCTTACATTCCCCGGTTGGGTGTAGAGCTATTCCATAGCCAGTATATGAGCAAGTCAAACGCGCACTTTTTTGCCTGTAACTTTGAAGAAATACATCAAATCTCCTCAGCCATTGATGAGTTACGTAAAGAAGTGTGCGTTTGACTAGTACTGTCGCATTAATGCCCTTACTTCTATTCAATTTTCATACTGCCGTACTCTAGCGGAACTATCTATCTACCCTCTTCAGACCTTTCTCTAGATAATAAATTATCACATTAAGCTTCATGTTAGATAGCATTTCCTACCAACTCTGAAAATCGTAAATTCACGTATGAAGTAACATAAAACCACTTTGAATGGAATTAATATTTTGGGATAAAGTGTCATCAAATCATGGTTTTCAGGATAATCCGGATATTTTTGATTGACCTATAGAGTGAACAGATTATATTTTTTTTTCTATATTATTCATAGTCACGAGATCAAAGTGCATTTAACATGATATTTATATGTTGGGATAAAGTTACCATATCATGAAGTGGCCACATCATACAAATTGTCCTAATAGCTTGCGTTTTTTATATCTTTCATAATCACGATATCAAAGCGTAACATGAAAATTATATTTTAGTATAAAATTACCATAACCTGATTCCCTGGATAATCTGGGCTGACCAATGTGGCCAGATTATAAACATTGTTTCAAATCATTCAGAATCACTTGATCTCGTGATTTTTATTATAGAATCGATTTTTGGGGTAAAGTGGCCATGTACGGATTGACCGTAAAAGATGTCATAAAATATTAACAGTCCTGCAAAACCACATTTTTTTTGCTAACAATCTAGTTCTCTCTCTCCTTTGGTTTGTTTTCCGTCGATCTTGTTTTCCGTGCTTATCACCAATGCTACCGACTCCAACTTCCAGAGGCAACTTCCACACCTGGTCCCTACCTATCGCCCCATTAACTCCCCAAGTAACAATTAGGGTTTTATGAGGGTTCTGTAGACTATGAATTAGACTTGTAGCATGCTTTAAAACCGTGATAAATCTTGCAATGTTACTTAGGTCATGAACCGGGAACTTTATTTTACTTCCCGCGTGATCAGAGATCTTATGCATCAGAGCATCCCGGCGGCGTCGACTAGTATTGAATCCAGACCTGCTGGGGTGAGAGGTAATCACGCTTACCACTACACCACCGGCCTGTGGACCTCCCTTTACTCAGTCGGTAAAGGCACAGCTACAAAGCAAGACCATGCTGGAGGTGGCTGGGTTCGATTACCGGTCCGGTCTAGGAATTTTTCGGGTTGGAAAATTTCACGACTTCCCTGGGCATAGAGCATGATTGTACATGCCACACAATTATACTACTGCAAAAATGGTACAGACATCAAAAGCTCTCAATTAATAACTATGGAAGTGCATCTAGAACACTAAGTTGAGAGCACGCAATAAGCTAATATGCCATACGCAATAAGCTTTAAATGCGAGGAAGAAGAAGAAGACTACACCACCTGCACCGCTAGCAATCTAGTTGAAATTCAAATATTTAAAACAATTTTTAGCCAAAAAAAACCTAGTATCTCACTTCTGGCAGGCTAACTATGGTATTTTAAATCGAAAAATTGAACTCATTTGTAGTTCTGCGGAGAAAGTTTCAGCTATATAAGTTAAACCTGCTATTAAATCGTACGGCGCTGTAAACTCTCCTAGAATCCCACAGTTTTCGTGTGTGTCATATTAAGAACAAGGAGAAGCATCAATATTGTTTAACGTAGAATTAGTAGTTTATTCAAGACTGGCCCGATCCGTGGTTTCATAATAAATTATTAATCAAGTTTCATGCAACATGTTCCAAACATGATTCTGAAAGATATAAAAAAACTGCAAGCTTCTAGGACAATTTGTATGGTGCGGATTATCCGGAGAACCATGATGTGGCCACTTTATCCCAACATGTAAATTCCATATTAATGCGCTTCGATCTCGTGATTCTGAACAATATAGAAAAATCGTAAGGTTCTAGGACAATTTTTATAATGTGGCCACTTTATCGGTCAATTCGGATTATCCGAAAAACCATGATATGGCCAGTTTACCCCAAAATATAAATTCAATATTAAAAATGCTTTGATCTCATAATTCTGAAAGATATAAAAAATCGCAAGGCTCTAGGACATCTTTTATAATGCGGCTACTTTATCGGCCGTTTCGGGTCCTCCGTTGGCCAGTGGAGGTTCCCTGTGGGTGCATATGTTGTCGTTACACCATATATGCATACATAGTACGACAATTTCCAGTAATATACCTAAAATAATATGTTGTACTATACAGATAGGTACTGGCATTTCCTATTTTAACGGGTACTCGGGTTGATCCTGGCCCTCTGTATCGACAGGCAAATGTCACCGAAAAATGAGACTATCACTCATGGATTCAGCAGAGTTTTTCCTTTAAGAATATGTATAACATGTTGACTAAAACCGTTTGACAGCCGTTCAATTTGTCGCGGTTTTATAAATTTTTACCCACTGTGCGTGGTGGATAAACTACACTGAAAAAAGTTTTCACTTGGTTTCTATTAGGAACGCACATAGTATTTTTCCAAAAACAAAAACAATGATTTTTACCTGAATATCACATAGCATTAGAAATTCTATATGAGAAATCATTTAGATTTCATTGGACACATAACGTTCATGTGATTTAGTGGTGCAATTTCCAATTATGGGATCACATGAAAGTTATGTGAAATTCACGTGGATATTCTCCACTGGTTATGTGATTTATTTTATGAGTGTAGTTTTGCTCTTCCAACATTCAAACCCTGGTGGTGAGTACTGTCAGAAGCACCATGAAATACCGTATTGCAAAACTTTGCGTTTTGGAAGAAGGAACATTTTAATCGATTTTGAGTGAATATTAGTGAATGCAATTATGAGCAAATTGAGCTGCACAATAATCATGCTTGGGTACTGAAAGATAGCTGAGCGAGTGTTGATTTTTACTAAGCGGATCACTACATATATACTCGGAATTGACAACAATACAACAAAACAGATGATAAACTGAAAGAATATGAAAAACTTTCTCACCGACTGAACGATTAGATCTAAAATCAGTGAGCGAGCTGTTTTTTTTCTGGGACAGATTATACACATTTGGATTAGTGTTATCTACTAAAGCATAGTAGGAAATGGCTCTAATGTTGGCCTATGGATCTAAGATTGGGCCCATCGCTAAAAATCTGCTATTTATCAATTTTATCTAGATGAACGCGTCATTGGGACGGTACTAATGGATATTTTTGGCTGCTATTGAAAATTTAGTCGTTTGCTGAATTTATGCATGGGCCCAAATTAGGGACACTTAGGCCGACATTACCTGCATTTCCCTTATGTGTCATTATGACTTACGTTAAATTCACAAATTATTAAAATCTTTGAAACTAGATTAATTTTCTGGTGCATCATTCAAATTGCCGACTTTTTCCTGGTGAAAACAAAATCGCGAATTTTCCATCTTTTACTGTTTGACTTGCCAGTCTGGTTTTTTTTTTAATTTCATTGTGTTTATAAATTGACATATTTAACAAAACAAAACAATTAGATGTTTTTTAATTTACTTTTTTAAAATACAGAGGCTCACTATGGGCTCAAATCCGCTATAAAAATGTATTTGAAATGGGAATGTTTTTTTTTTTTAAATTATCGAACAAAATGGGCCGAAGGATCTCACCATTTTATGAAACTTTGCGCACAGGTAGAGTTTATGGTTATATGAACGAAACAAAATTTCAAAAAAATCGAGGTTCCTAATTTTCCCGGAATTTTTTAATTGAAGTTTTCGGATTATCCCGGAAATCGCGTACTTTGAATATTTAGGGAAAAAGGCTCTAATGTTGGCCAATGGATCTAAGATTGGGCCCATCGCTAATAATCTGCTATTTATCAATTTTATCTAGATGAACGTGTCATTGGGACGGTACTAATAGATATTTTCGGTCGCTATTGAAAATTTAGTCGATTGCTGAATTTTTGTATGGGCCCAAATTAGGGGCATTTAGGCCGACATTACATCAATTTCCCCTATAACTCATGAACACATGATAGAAAGGAAAGGACGTTTTGCAGTGAAACGATAAATTATCTCAGCAAAAATATAATTTGAAAAATACTCTCCACGAAAATTTTCACGGTGGAGGAAAAGCGCAGGGAAAATCAGGATAAACCATTGTCAGGGTAATGAACTTTCATGGTTATTTCCACGACCACATAATAAAATATTATTAGTTTTGCCGTCGAATGCTTCTGGAAGAATTAAAATCGAACAATATTTGACCAAGTTACGACACTCCCAAATTAACGAATAATTTATTGTATTTTTAGTATCCCCTGTATAATACCCTTTTTGTAAGAAGCGTACACATTGAAATGAAAAAAATAATAATAACAAGAAACATAACGTACCGTGCAAATGAATATTAATTTGTGTCAATTTGTCCAGCTGGGCCTGGGCCATTTTGCTTTGCTTTTTGGTGATTTTGTGCTTCCAGTACGGGCCAGGGTGGTGATGATTGTGGGTGTTGGTTGCTTCCGGTTTACCGGTCGTGGCCAGGACGTCGATTCCATTGCCGTTGGTGAAGTTTTTGTTATTGTTCGTCTCGATCAGGCTGGCGACCCGCAGGTTCAGGGTAGATTTGGGACTGCTGTCAGTTTCACCATCGGCGGAACTGGTCGAGAGGTGGCGCGTTTTCTTAATAATTTTGGGCGAGAATTGCCGCTTGGAGGGTGGAGCTGGCGGCTGAGATCCAGGTGGGTGCTGCTGGTGTGGCAGCAGGTATTCCATCTTTTTCGCTTGAACCGAGCTGAGATTCGGTGAACTGGCGCTGGTCATTCGGTCCAGGCTCACGATTTGTAACCGTTCATGCTCGAAGTACAGGACCGGTGCGGTGAGGACCGAAGGCGATGGTGAATGCGGTGGCGATTCGATCGTTGCAATGTCTAGCGAAGAGCCATTCTTCTTCTTCGGAGATGAACTCCGCTGGCTGTTGCTTCGCGGTGAGGCGGACCCTGGCCGGATGGCAGGTGGACAAATGACGCTGAGGTCCGGGAGACCGACGCTGGACAGGGAACGGGTCACCAAATCCGGAAGACTGATTTCTATAAAGGAAAACAAAACAGAAAAAAGGAAAACAAAAGATAACATAAAACTGAATTAAATTAAAGCAAAATGAAATTGAATCAACTTAAAAGCATATGAAAAGTGCTCGCCGTCAACGATAACGAACGCAGGACAGCAATTTATCCGATACGCCCTCGCCGTCGGGGGGTGGAGGTCCGAAGCAAAAATAGCATCACGTATCCATTCCCCGGAGCTCGCGGTGGGGCGAATGAGGTCGGAAATTAAACACTTTTCCTTCTCCCAGAGAGATCACCCCATGAACCCATGAAGCTCAGCGCAGTATGGTAGAATTCGACCCTGAACTTGAGAACGTCGTACCTAGCAGCGACTAAAAACGGAGGAGCGGTCGTGAGAAGCAGCAACTGGAAATCACTTCCATAACACCGGTAATGGCCGTTCTACATCTGCTGGGAATTTGCTGCAGCAGTTGAGGGTGATGTTCATTTTTAGCACGTTTTCACGATGGGCTACGCCGCCGCCTTTACTCGCTGTTCGGCGGCACGGTGCACAATAAATGAGCAGCAGTTTGTCCTTGTTGGCGGGCGGTGGTTGGTGGGAGCTTGGAGCCCTTTCTGGCAAAAAAATAGAATCTCACCAACCAGCCCGGGGGATTGAATGGGTCACGGTGTCATGTTCGTTATTGGCCGTGGAAGAATGCGTTTTTTTAGAATTATATGCAAGTTAAGCTTTTGGGGAGATTAAACCAATCGTCAAGTAGAAAGCTAACGAATGGATGTGATTAGCTGAACTGAATGTGCAAATCCACAGATAATTGGTGTTATTTATAAGGATTTAATAAATTAGACTTCAGCGTGGCTTATCAATTGCTCCAATTAATTAGGTCGATGCTCGTTTCTTTTTCATGAAGTTCAAATCAGGATAATTAATTAGCACTAGATAATGTTTTAGAATCTGACACACATCGTTGGTGACGCATTATGTGCTGATCTGCATTGCCAATGTTAAAACTAGCCGATATCAACAAACATTTGAAGAAGTAAAGCACGAAATTATTGTATATTGGTCTTCACAGCAGAGACAGATCCAAGGGAGTATTGCAGTGGAGCCTCAATTTAATCAGTCAATTCATCAGTGACTTCTTCTTATAGGATTTTATGCTTCTGTAGCGAGCGTTTTGCTAGCTTTCAACTTACATAGGTCGCTGCCAAGCTAACGCGGAACGCGGAGCGAAGCATCAAATCGACTGTGAGGAATCAGACCAATTATAAAAATTACTTCGCACACCCGATGCAACGCTTCGCTTTCCGCGTCAGCAATGATACTGAGCGCTGTGTGAGGAACCGAACGGATCGATCGCATGAATGTGTGAGTGCTGACCACGTTTTGCGTCCATTGCTGCAATGGAAGCGCTCTGACTCCCGTTGGCGAATCTGCCATACAATGAAACCACTGGAAGCGGCTCCCGTTCTGGTGGAGGAGGCTTATTGGATAGCGGAAGATAAAATGTTTATTGTATTGTACCTTTTGGCTATAGTTTTAAGATTTACTGTATAGTGAACAAGAATCCTCGGCTCTGTAAAGTTAATTAGGTTGAGCCCTTAGTGTCTGTCCAAACATCGAACAATCATTTAGGGTAGAGAACTACTTCGGCCTAATCGCCCATTTTGGGCCTATCGAGCAGAAAACTTCAAATAAATCCATGATTTCAGAGTTAACTGGTCAATTAAGCGTTTGGTACGATACTTAAGTTAATAAGCTACCGAACGAAGTCAATGAGAACGCGTGATATGAAGGTTTGCACCCATTATTCCCAAAAACAAAAGAAGCGCCGAATAAATTTTTATCTTCATCCGATAGGCCGAAGTGAATTCATTGGCGTTCCAATGGCGTTTCAATGCGTTAGGCCGAGTTTAGAATCCGTAGGCCGAGTTTGGTGTCAAGAAGCAGCGTTAGACGTTTGAAAATATCTCAACGCTTGGTTTCTCTTTATCAAATCTTACGGTACGTACGGAAAGGTAAATAAATTTGGAAGCCATCAGTGATAATAAAACTCCGTTTGGTGCTAAACTGCGCTAGATTAAGAACGACTAAGTGCGGGTTGTGCTTAATAAGCCGGAAATGGGGTAGTTAGCCCTAGTAGAATCTTTTTTTTTTGTCTAATGAATGCCTAAAATGATGAAATCTTTTCAATATTTTAGAAACCTTTAAATTTGTCTAGGACTGTAATTTGTTTGTATTAGACATCGCGAAGCCAAACGGAAGAACTGGAAACGGGTATGTGAAGACATCAATTGTGCTCCAACAGCTGCGAGGATGCATAAAGTTCTTTCAAAAGACCATTCAAATGGTCTTGGTAGCCTCAAAAAAGAAGATAGGACATTTACTGCTGACTCTTCTGAAACATTGGAAGAAATGATAAGGATTCACTTCCGAGGGTCGACTCCTTTGGCGGCTGAAGAAGAACAGGACTTTGACTAGGCCAGACATGCATGGTCTGAAGATGCCTATCTGAAAGCTTGTAAAATCTTCTCACCATCTAGAGTTGAATGGGCGTTGAGTTCTTTTCAACCTTTCAACTCTGCCGGGAAAGATGAAATATTCTCAGCATTACTTCAACAGGGAAAAGAAGTACTCATTCCCCTCTTAACTGAACTGTATAAAGCCAGTGTTACTTTGAGCCACATACCAAAAACATGGAGAAAGGTTCGAGTTGTCTTCATTCCAAAAGCTGGAAAAAGGGATACAACGACTCTGAAAGCCTTCAGACCTATAAGCCTTTCCTCTGTTCTGTTGAAGACAATGGAAAAATTGTGAATGACTTCATTAAATCAACAAGTTTAGCAAGGTTACCTCTTAGCAAATTTCAATTCGCTTATTAATCGGGTAAATCTACGATAACGGCATTACAATCACTGGTTAATAGAATCGAGAAATCACTTGAAGCCAAGGAAATAGCCGTGGTTGCTTTTTTTTTAAATTGGAGGAGCATTCGATAATGCATCCTACACACTTAGAAATAACTAATTTTACACGAGACGTAATCCATATTGGAAGTAAATCGTGGAACGTAAACAAACATTTCATGTAAAATTAAGTTTTCTCAAACCGAAACATAAGCAAATCGACGAAGAGAACGTTTCATTGAATTGATTTTCTTGTTTCTTTCAACTGATTCTTATGTCAAAAAGGCCGCTTACATGTGTCGGTCTCAGGGAACCTAAATCTACATGACATTTTCGTAGTGTGTACAGCTCAATGCGTTCAGCTATGGAAGCAAGGGGCTTGGATAACTGCATTATCGAATGGATAATGGCGATGCTCACAGATCGAGAAATTTCTGCTGATGTTGGAGGTGCGTCACTAACTATAAGATCGATGAGGGTTGTCCTCAAGAAGGGTACTATCACCCTTATTGTGGTCTTTAGTAGTGGAAGAACTCCTTCAAAGTTTAGCGGAGCAGGGTTTCGAGGTGATTGGTTACGCAGACGATGTGGCCATTATAGTGCGGGGAAAGTTTGAGAACACGGTTTCAAATCGGTTTCAAACTGCCCTAAACATGACCTTCCATTGGTGGTGAGAGAGGGCTTGAATGTAAACCCTTCAAAAACTGTCATAGTTCCTTTCACCAAAAGGAAAAATTGGTGGGGTTGTGTACAAGACACGACCGCATGGTTGACGTAGACTACGTTGAGATGTTTAGTGAACTTCTCGTGCATTTTTCTTGATATTGATTTAAAATACAGTAGAAGTAACTTATTTCCTCAATTTAATCCATTTCCTCTCCTTGACATGTCAATTTCCTCACCCGTATTAGTTATTTTTCTGACCGTTTCTGGACTGTCCGTTATTGATATTTCTGCATATGAAACACTTGTATTTGATCTTCCGTTATAAAATATATTCCCCGTGCACAATTCAAGGCCCATCCCATCTCCGTTGAACATTTGTTATGGATAACACGTTTAACCAAACGCTTGATCGCATTGGGATACCTTCGGTGGGAAATCGTTCACAAGAATGTTTTGCACATCCCAGCCCAAGTAACATTCTAAGTTTTTTTTTGTGTGGTTTTAATGCACTCTACAAGTCTAAATCATGATCTACAGTACCCTTATCAAACCCAAATTGTTACTTGGGAGGTAACCAACAAGCCCACTAATTTGGATTGATTTTGTTATATAAAGCTAACATACGACTAATACAGGGCTTTGGCGCATTATTAGTTGCTTGGTTAGTTGGGATTGCCCCCTAAATTTCTTTCCATCAGCATAATCTAATTCAGAGTTGTGTCTTCAAAAAAATAAAAAGTTTGGTCCATGTTCAATATTTAATCATAATTTGCTACTTTAGGCAATCAAAAATTCGTCCATCCAAGCAGGACCATAATTCTAAATGTTCATTGGATAGCTTAACGTAGGAATTTATCCGCCTCTTAACCACATAATGAGAAACTAAAACCATAAGTATTCAGAAATAAAGGGTGTCCACGATGAAATTGCCACACTATGAAATTGCTCTAACTTTTTAACCGTTGGGTAGAATTTAATGAACATTTGGGTGGATTTAGTTCATAGTCCATTATTTACATCCTGCAAGTTTTAAAGTCCTGTGATCAAAACTCGCGGAAATGGAGTAGAAAGAACAGCTCGTGCGTGATAAAATCTTGCGCATTCATCACGAGAACAAGGATCTCTCGCATCGTTCCATCGCTAAAACGTTGGGAATCGCGAATTCCACGGTGTCGCGAGTGATTAAGCGGTTCGAGGAACGGTTGACCACCGATCGGAAGCCCAGAAGTGAAGGAAAAAGTATTCCGTACAACACCAAAAATCACAACCGCGTAGTTGGGGCCTTCAACCGAAATCCAAACGCCTCCGTTAGGGATGTGGCTAAGAAGCTGCACCTAAGCCGAAGTTTTGTCCAGAAGGCCAAAACTAAGGCTGGGCTTCGAACGTTCAAGGTACAAAAGGCCCCTAATCGCGACGAGAAGCAGAACAAGTCCGCCAAAACCCGTGCC